CTGAAACAGGCTCCAGGCTCTGAGCTGGCTGTCAGCACAGAGCCCGACGCGGGGCTCGAACCCACGAACCTGAGCTGAAGTCGGACGCTTAACCGACTGAGCCACCCAGGCACTCCTATTTTTTAGTGTTGTTGAGTTCTAGGCATTCTTTATATATTCTGGATATAGACTTGCCACGTCTTCCTCCCCTTCTGTGGGCTGCCTTTCACTCTGTTGACAGTGTCCTTGGTACACAGAAGGTTTTCAGTTTGAGGAAGTCCAGGTTATCTGTTTTTTCTTTGTTGCCTGTAAAGAATCTTTACCAAATTTAATGTTAGGAAGCTTTTTCTCTATGATTTCTTCTGAGAGGTTTAAAATTTTAATTCTTAAGTTTAGGTCTAACACCTCTTTGCAGTTTATTTTTATATATGGTGTAAATTAAAGGTCCAACTTTTCCTTCCTTTCTTCTTCCTCTCGCTCGTGCTCACTCGTTCTTTCTCTCTCTTCCTTCCTTCCTTCCTTCCTTCCTTCCTTCCCTCCCTCCCTCCCTCCCTCTTTTCCTTCCTTCCTTCCTTCCTTTCCCAGTACATTTGTTTCGGAGAGTATCGTTTCCCTATTCAGTGGTCTTGGCACCCTTGTTGCAAATGTTCTATTCTGTTGGTACGTTTGTATGTCTTTGTGATACTATTACACTGTTTTTGTTATTGTAGCTTTGCAGTAAATTTTAAAATCAGGAAGTGTGAAACTTCCACCTTTGTTCAATTTCAAGATTATTTTGTCTGTAGTCCCTTGAGAACCATCCCATATGAATTTTAAGATAAATTTTTCTGTTCCTGCAAAAAAACATTATTGGGATTTTGGTAAGCGTTGTGTTGAATCTGTAAATCACTTGGGTGATCTTTCCTCTTTTATTTTATGTTTTTTAATGTTATAACTATTTTACCACATTTTTCTCATTTATTTGGAAAAGAGATTCTCAGAGTTTTAAAATTTATGATGTGTGAACTTGAACTCGAATCGTCCCATCCGCTTTCCTTAGGACTTTATCTAAATGACAAAGAGTTTGATTTTCATACCTTCTTTTCATTCTTCACCTCCTTTCCTCCAGCAAGGTTTTTGCTTTTCCCCTTTTAGACTCAATTCTCCACTCCGTGTTAACATTGTGTCCATTAAAAATTTTTTTTTTGTTGTCAAATATAGGAAGATGGTGGGTTGAAGGTCACAGGAGATGTGTACATGATTAATAAGTTAAAAACATTTTGGATCCAACCCCAAAGAGAAGATAATGGGAAAAATTAAAATAATTAGAGGGTGTAGGAGGAAAGGATTGTAGTTGTGTTGAAGCATCACTTTTGTATTGTGTTGAGAAATTATGGAGATTTAACAGACAAGACTGTACTCTATTTAATTCAAAAGTATGAATAAATCAGAGAAGTTTGGCAACGTCCATGGAACATATAGAAGCACTATCTTCTATATACTAAAGATTTAATTTGAATTAAATATATTTTCTGATCAGTCATGAACTTGTTTCTAATAACAGTGTTTTTATTTTTTATTTATTTACTATATTTTTTTTATTTCTGAGAGAGAGAGAGAGACAGCATGAACAGGGGAGGGTCAGAGAGAGGGAGACACAGAATCTGAAACAGGCTCCAGGCTCTGAGCTGTCAGCACAGAGCCAGACGTGGGGCCCAAACCCACGAACCGAAGTATGACCTGAGCTGAAGTCAGACACTTAACGGATCGAGCCACCCAGGCGCCCCTAATATCAGTGTTTTTATAACAGTGTATCATGTGAAGGGACAGTTGCATGTGGAGGTATATATTCTGCTCCATTAATATACTTTAGGAAAGATTGATGCCTATTAGCTGTCTGTTTTCTCTCTGACAAATACCTTAACTCAGGTGGGCATATTCATTCTAGATAACATTTAAGGTTTCTTCTAATTCTCTTTTCTGCTTCATAGACTATATTTGAAATACGCTCTTTCTGTCTTTTAAAGGTGGATTTCTTAAGTGAGTGAGGCTTCCTGAATGTCGTATACTCTTAAATTTTACAGTCAGATATGTCTGCATTGGATTCTTGCTTCTGTTTCTTAATAGCTGTGTGATTTTGATTATTTAGTGTCTCTTAAGCTGCGTTTTTTTGTGTTTTTTTTTTATGTTTGTTTATTTTTGAGACAGAGTACTCGAACAGGGGAGTGGCAGAGAAAGAGGGGACAGAGGATCCAAAGCAGGCTCTGGGCTGACAGCAGCAAGCCCACTATGGGGCTCAAACTCATGAACCATGAGACCATGACCTGAGCCGAAGCCGGATGCTCAACTGACTGAGCCACCCAGGCATCCCAAGCCTTTTATTGTAATCTAACAAGTGACAGTGACAATTCCTATGTTGTGGGGATATCTGGATGAGAGTATTTAAGGTTTGTTAGTACCTAGCACATGGTCGGTCACTATTACAAAAATAATTAGTGACTAGTTTTGATATTTTAATTTATTAAAAAAAATTTTTTGTAATGTTTTATTTTTATTTTTGAGAGAGCAAGGCAGTGTGAACAGGGGAGGGTCAGAGAGAGAGGGAGACACCGAATCCGAAACAGGCTCCCAGCTCTGAGCTGTCAGCAGAGAGCCCGACGTGGGGCTAGAACCCACAAACCGTGAGGTCATGATCTGAGCCGAAGTCAGATGCCCAACTGACTGAGCCACCCAAGTGACCTAGTTCTGATATTTTTAAATGTTACATGTTACGGTTGAGATAAAGGTCTGAAGTTAAAATCATACTTTGTTAAGTCAGGACAGTTCACATAGATAGACAAACGTGAAACAATATTCGTGGATTAATAATGGAGAAAAAGTAGAAGATAAAAAATAAATTTAAATAAACGATAAATTTCTAGTATAGAAAAGGAAACTAACGTGCTCACATACCTTATTACCAATAATTAGTACTCGGTTTCCGATTTTTACCTAGTTTCTGATTTTTACCTAGTTCTATCAGTAATGACATCTTAGAAAAAATCTTCTGTTTACATTCTGTTCTGTTTTCTATTCTTTTTTTTAATTTCTTAAGGCGGATGTTGACATCATTGATTTTCATGAGGACTTGTCTTTTTTTTTTTTTTGTCTTCTTATATAGGTGTTTGATGCTGTAATTGTCTCTTTAAGTACTACTTTAGCAACATCCCACAAAGTCTCATTATTTTAAATTGCAGTTCAAAATACTTTCTGATTTTCCCTTCCTCCCTCACTCCCTTTCTCCCTCCCTTCCTTCCTTCCTTCTTTCCTTTAATACATTGTTATTCAGAACTGGGCTATTTCATTTCCAAATAATGTGGCAATTTTCCAAATGTGTCTGCAGGGATTTCTAATGTAATTCCATTGTGTTCAGTGCATATACTTTATGTTACCTGAATCCTTTTAAATTTATTAGGACTTGTGCTGTAACCAAGAAAGCCCCCTATCTTCGTAAATGTTCTCTGTGCACTTGAGAAGAATGTTTATTTTGCTGATGTTGGATAGAATTTCTGTCATTGTCAGTTAGGTCAGAGTTTTGGGGAGTTTGTTCAAGTCTTGTGGGCCTCTGGGTTTTCTCCTTGTTCCACCAGTTACTGGGAGAGCAGGATTTAAATCTCTGACTACAGTTGTGGACGCATAGTTTTCTGTATTTCTGTCAAGTTTTTGCTTCATGTATTTTGAAACTCTGTAATTAGGTGCATAAATCTTTCTGTTGTCATGACCTCCTGATGGTATGACCCTTTTATCATTGTGAAATGATCTTTATGTCCTTCATTTCTTTGCCTTGAATTCTACTTTCTATAAATACAGCCTTTCTAGCTTTCTTCAAGTCTTTTTCAGTGTCCAGTAAGATCCAGGCATCTTGCTACTGCTTTGTATTTGATGATGAAAAAGAAAAAGTACTTTTGGTACTCAGTAGACTAAATAGAACTTTGAACTCAGTCTAATGAGAGAAAAACAGAAGTTAGTGAGCAGTTATGATACATTGTCATGAAACTGATAGGAGTAAAGTACTGGAGGGTCTTGGGACATCCAGGAAAGCTCTTCTGTGGAGGTGACAGCTAAATCCACGCCTCAGGTGGAAAAATGAGTCGAGAATGGCCAAATTGAGGGCAGAAATTGGTCAGAGACCAGTATGTACAAAGCTTGAAGGTATCACTACATTTGGACTGAAAATAGGAGGACCAGAGCATAAAGTTCAAGTAGGGATGTGATCGGATGTGACTGGAAAGGTCATCAGTGCCAGATTATGAAGAAAATTGTGATGTAATGGTGGGCCACATTGTGAGTCCTTACTGTATGTCAGGCATGTGTTGAGAGGACTCAGCAAGATAACCCTGTTTGGTACACAGTATTGTTATAACTTGTGAAATGAAGAAATAAAGCATGTGGGGAGCACAGAGAGATTAAGAAACTTGCCCAAGGCTCTATAGACAGGAGACAACTTCGCCACAATCATTTATCTGTGTCTGTGACTGAGCAGGCAAACCAGAGTTTGAACTTGATCCTGTTCACAATGTGGAGTGCTCTCAGGATTTTAAGCAGGGACATAAATAAAATAAGTAAATAAAATTTGTGTTTTAAAAGCATCACCCTGGCTACAGTTTATGTTGGGGGAGGTGGGGAGAAGCCACCTGGAGATACAGTTGACAAATGTTTACGTTCTCTATGGAGCGTATGCTAATTTTAAAATGAAGGTAGTTCTTCACCTCTCTGTGGTTCAGTATCCTGATTAGGAAAGTGAAAACGATGATGGTCTCATTCTCACAGGAGCATAAAACAATCAAATTGTGTAAAATTGTACATGGTAAATACTCAGTCAGCTTCAGCTGTGATGATGATGATTGACTTGAAAATCATGCTTAAATTTTTAATCATGTTTTTCTTCTTTTTTTAAATTTAAAAGTTTTGCCTTGGAACTTACAGCTATGACTGCGGCGGCTACAGTACAGTAAAATGTTAATCACCCCTTTCTCCCCACTACTGTTATTTTGGTTTTTCAGTTTATGGGAAGAACAGATGGAGACTATTATACCCTAGATGACATGTTTGTCTCCAAAGCGGCTGAGAGAGGACGTTTCGGTGAAGAGGAAGAGAACCAGAGGAAGAAAGCCATTGCCGAACATCAGAGTCTTGCTGCCCAAATGGAAAAATGTCTGTATTGTTTTGACAGCTCTCAGTTTCCCAAGCACCTTATTATTGCAATAGGTGTTAAGGTAAGAAATACCACACTGATGGCCCTAAGGAAGTGATGCAGCGATGTGTCCAGATTTGCCTCTTTCTTCAGACTCTCGCAGGATTCTAACATGTCTGCCTTCTCTTGCTCTGTTGCAAATCGTTTTCTGTTCTGACTTCCTGTGATTCTTAGACTCTTCTCTAGAGCAGTATGAATATTTAGGTGACTTGAAACTCACATTTTGTATGATTCTCCTCTTTAGAGGAGCAGCACTGACCTAAACTTGGGGGTCGGACCACCTGGACCCACGTTCTGGCTCTGACGTTGACCGGCCATAGGACCTTATTTTCATGGTTGGCACTTGATTCTTAGTGTTCCTATCACTTGAGAAATACTCCGTCGAAAGCAATTGCTGTTTCTTCCCTTACTTTCTCATAGAACCTATTTGTTTCTTCAGAGAATATCTCATGGTTTGAACATTATTACCTCATTTTACTTGTGTACTGAATCCCTCTTCTAACAGTCTGTAAGTCCCGTGAGCACCTGGCTAACGCTTACTCATCACTGAGCAGCACACATGAATCCTGTTGTTGACCCAACATACATCCCATTGTATATACAAGAGTGTATGGTCGTAGTCACTATTTTTTAAATATTAATGATTGCTTAACCATTGATAACTGTCACTTATTTCAATAAACATTTGGTAAGTTAATTCTTATATTAATTAATTATGTGTACCTGCTATACACCAGACCATAATTAGTTCCTGGAGAAAGGTAAACTCAGATGTACTTGCAGAGCTTGTATTCTAGTAAAACGGGGCAGAAAATGAAGTAATAATTGCCCTGATTGAAGAAAGTGTTGTCAGAAAGCAAATAGCGCAGAGGAATGGGACAAAATGATGGGAGACTATATTTGAGAAGGTGGTTTAGAAGGCCCCTGTAAGGAGGTATTTTAGGGAAGGTATGAAAGATGGAAGGAACAAGCAACATTAGGATGTGAATGACTGATGTTTCAGGAAGGGGCGTCGGTGGGTGAAGAGTGGGTGAAGAGCTGGTCCATGGACGGGAGTGTGGCCAGGGCAGAGGGAGTGAGGAAAGGAGAGGAGAGGAATGAATAAGTGCATGGCTAGTTCAGGGACTGCGCATATACATGTTTATTTACTAATGTGTACATCCCCCCCACCCCCACCCATGTATCCAGAGAACTGATGTGGGCTTTTCCATTCTGACTCTAGCCTTTAGTATCTTTAGGTTGTTAAGACAGTCAACTTATCAGTTCATATTAGGGTTTCTTTAACTTTATTTCTTTACCTTTCTTCTTTTTTCCCTTCCAAACTATCAAAAAGGTGAATGTAAAAATTCCATTTAAAATTTACTCAATTAAAAAAAAACCCACCATAACCTATTACTTATATTCATTTTTCTGAATTCTTATCCAGACCTTTATAAACATTTACATTTTTGTAATTACGACATTGTAAGTATTTTATTCCTCTTCAGTCTGATCCCTACCTTTTAAAGGTGTAAGAACAAATTAAACAAAGTAACACTTAAATGTTTCCTGCTGTGCTTAGAAGTTGGGAGTGTTTTCAGTGGGGTTTTCCGTTTTCCCCAGTGCACTGGAGGCAGGCGGGGTCCCGCGGACACAGACCTTCCGTTTGCCTCCTGCCTTGCAGGCTGCTTCCCCGACGAGGCGCTTCTCAGTTCACTGATGAAAGCACACTGCCGGCCAGTGAACAGATGCTTTCTGGTTCTTTCCTTCCACCCTTATTAGTTGTCATGCGTGTCTTTCTTTCCCCGTTCTTGAGGGTGGCCCTCTTCTGCTGTGAGGTAATCCACACCTTCCTACTAGCCTTTCCTAATGGCATTACATTCTTCTCTTTGCCTTTCACTTCCTGAGAGTTGGCTGGTCTATTTCTTCCCTCTGGGACTCAGTCTTTTCAATATGATTTAATTTAAAAAACTGTTGGAGTCTCCTCTTTTCCATCTATGCTTTATATATGCTGTTTTTGCTCTGAAAACTGCCATCTACCTTCAGCCATTTGGCTGTGACTATGTTAATAGAGAAATATTTGAAATATTGGCTAGAAGGAATCTCATCCATCATGTGATAACCTATCCCACCCATTGTCACTAAGTGGAAATAATAAATCACATTGCAGAGCTTGAATTTCTAATATTTAAAGTGAATGTCACAAATCCAAATGTATTGATGACGCTGTATTAGTTCTCATTAGGATCACAGAGTTAAATAACTTCTGATCATCAGCTCCTGCTTTCTCCCTCCTTTTTTTTTAAAAAAAAAAAAGTTACCTGTCTCCCTCGTCTTAACACTGTGCTTTACTCTTTTTTTAATAGCCTTTTTTTTTACAATAGTTTTAGATTTACAGAAAAATCAAGAAGACAGTACTGTGTTCCATATATAGTGTATCCGCTTTCTTCTCTTACTAACACCTGACATTAGTAAGCAACTTTACAAGTTGTAAATTTCTTATACTTAATGAATCAGTACTGATGTTATTTTTAATTTTGAATATGGTTATGATTTTACTACAAATTTAGGTAAACTTCTATATCCATTCCTACTTTGTCCTCTCTCAGGAGAGTTTTAAAATTTTGCATTATTTTGTTAAATAATATTGTCTGCCATACAAAATATTTCTAGCTAAAAGCTAACCAAAAATAGTAGAAAGTAAGAGTAAGCCCCTTTGCAGAGTATTATTTCTGTTCCTCATGAACACTGTTTGCTCGCTATAATATACACGAATTGATTTTTTTAAAGACAGTTTGTGTATAGTGGAAAAACAGCACCAGTTTGTAGGTAACACGTGTATTTAAATAGATAGAACTAAAGCAGAGCAGTAAGACCATATGGAGAACATTTCTTTCTCCCTTAGTTGGGTTAATTTGCTTTGCTTATCCAGTAAAGGAAGGAAAGCCCGAGTAATAGGTACCAGTTAGACCTCTTTCTCATTACCAGGCCATCTTTCTTTTCATTCCTGCCCACAGTTGTGTTGTTTGAAGGGCTTTGGAAGCATACAACTCTCTCAGAACAAGGGTAAAGTGTGCCTTTCATTTTGCCCTCGGGTACGCTCAATCTCTGAAATACAGAGAACAGTTAAAATGGAGACTTGTGCTGTAAATTTCCAGTTTATTAAAACCTTTCTTCATGGCTTTTAAAAGTATTTTAAAAATGTCAGATATCTTTAAAAACATTAAAATAAAAGATACTGCTTATAAACAAGTATGCTTTATTAAATGTTAGCTTTGTGTCCCTGAGAATCAATACAGTAGCATTTCACTTTGCAACTGTTTTCCCCATAGGCTTATTTGTGTTTACCCAACGTCCGATCTCTGACTGAGGGACACTGCTTGATAGTCCCCTTGCAGCACCACAGAGCCGCCACATTACTGGATGAAGACATCTGGGAGGAAATTCAGGTCGGCACGGTGATCTCATCCTTGTAATGCGCATGAGCAGGTTTACAAACTAGTGCCGATAAATTCCAGTGGGTTTTCTTATACCTTTGTCCAGTGATTTTACTTTCTGCACTTACACATTTGTATACATTTCCCCGGTTGTGTTCACGTGTGGATCATGTCTTCACCAGTCACTACGTTTTTAGTTTATTTCCCTTATGTACTCCCTGTTTTGAAAGGTTTTTTAAAAACGTTTTTATTGAGATATAATTGATGTGTATAACATACTAGTTTCAGGTGTACAGATGAAAGCTGTTTTGTCCTAAACAAACTGTGACAAAGCAATAAGTATTTTTACTTAAAAAAAAACTCAATGTAAGATTTCTAATTTCTGCTTCTGTGGATCATGAGATAACCATTCTTGACACAGTAAGCTAATAAATTACAGCCAAAAGGAAAGAGATTTTCAGATAATAAAAAAATAAATTTTGGAAGTCAGAGGTTCATATTCTGCAGATGCCATATCTTCCTGTAACAGAATTAGCCTCTGCTGTGATTTTGTGATTGGCCTTTATTTTTATACTTTTTCTTTTATTACTTGGCCCAGCTTTTGGATTCAGGATTTTCCTTCCCTTCCCTTCCCTTCTCTTTCCCTTTCCACTTCCTCCTCCCCCTCCTCCCCTCTCTTCCCCCTCCCCCTCCTCCCCTCTCTTCCCCCTCCCCCCCTTCCTTTCCTTCCTTCCTTTCTTCTTTTTGTGGCTGATTCTGCAAGAAACTGAGAGGCACAACCTGGGTGAAATTGCTGCTGAATTATTTCAAGACCTCATAATGACCAAAAAAGAAAAGAAAGAAAACTCTCATTTTTCTAATCCTTGACAGTTGAATAGGGGTTGCGGGGACCCCTAGTTAGAAAATGTGAAAATTGTGGGGCGCCTGGGTGGCTTAGTTGGTTAAGCGTCCGACTTTCGCTTAGGTCATGATCTCGCGGTTCGTGGGTTCGAGTCCCGCGTCGGGCTCTGTGCTGACTGCCAGCTCAGAGCCTGGAGCCTGTTTCAGTCCGTGACTCCCTCTCTCTCTGACCCTCCCCTGCTCACGCTGTCTCTCTCCTAGAAATAAATAAAACATTTAAAAAAAAAAAAAAGAAAAAATGTGAAAATTGTTAAGACTTCAGAAGAGACTCTACCGGTCTTCGCATCGTGCTGATAAAGATGCCAGAAGAGGAGATATTTTGACTCCATGTTATGAAATTCAGTCTTGTACTCATTGTAATCTTTCCGTTTATGCTGTGAAAGTAAAGGGCAGCGTGTTGTCATGCATATGTGGGGTCAGGTGTGGCTAAGAATGTGGACACATACCCTTGATGTAGGGAAAGAATTTTTCTAGCAGCGGATGCCAGCGCAGTGTATAATCCAAAGTGGAAGGTTGCAGATTTGGTTTTCAGAATTATTTTGAGACTTTTCTGAAATGTCTCTTTAACAATTTATACATGCAAAACTGATTTAACTTAGAGCAAAATACAGTGCCGAAAAGATTTTAAGTAATACAAGAATCTAGTCTGTGTTTTATATTTCTGTAAGAAATTAAGCGACTTGATGGAAAACATTGAGGTGGATAAAGAAGAAATGTATTCATTCAGTAGATATTGAGTACATGAATGTCAGTAATCCCGGTGTCCTGAGAAATGCAGAGATAAAATCATTAATTCTGCCCAAAGGTGTGGTGTATTGTCCTACAGGTTACTTTACAGTTCAGTGGATTTGGGAGCCGCATGCAGTATGGAAAATTGAATGAGGGAGGAAAGCCAAATTATTTTACACAGAGAATAACATTTTGGGTTGTGTGATAAAAGAATTAGTTGTTGCAAGTTGTAAATTAGTATAAGCCAATGAGCAAATAAAGTATATGAATTCTAGCTTATTTAAAGAAATGTCACTTTTGAGTTTTTGTTTGTATCTTCAGATATGTACAGAAGTTCAAGTTGGGGCACCTGGCTGGCTCAGTCAGAAGAGCATGCAGCCCTTGATCTTGGGGTTTGAGTTTGAGCCCCATGTTGGTGTAGAGATTACTTAAAATAAAAAAATCCTAAAAAATTGTTTCAAATTAATCACGCCCTGGTAAATATCCTTATGGTTACTCCCCCTTTCTAGAGAATATTTAAGAAAGATTATTTGACTTAGGAAAAAATATTGTTTGCAAATGCAGGAACCACTTTCTCTAAGTGGTTTTTATCCCCATCCTCTGCAACATTTAAATGTAATTTTAGATCTTATATTTAATAGAAAGTGCAAAACCAAGTTTCAGTACAGCATATGGGAATAATCACAGATTTTGAATGAGTAAGAGCCAGATGTTTTAGTTTCATTAAATATATAGTGAAACTTGGTCCCCTTTAAAGTTATTCTTGTCAGTTTGACAGTTAGGTTTGAGCTTATGTTATAGTCAGACACCCTGGGTCCTTTTTTTGAATATCCGAAATTAGCGGTGTGGTGGTGGGGTCATCACCTACAGGGGGCTTTGCTGCTGAGTGCTGTGATGGGGCCAGTTTCCTGGGAAACCTCCAGGATTTCCCCGTAGGTCGTCTTCTGCCGGCGATCAGACTCTCCAGAGGAAGCTCTGTCTCTCACCTGGTGCGTCTCAGATGGTTTGCTCCTGTGCTGGCAGCTGCGTTGGGGAAGAGGGCTGGGGTCGCAGAATATATACACTATGTAACATATCCTGTAACAACCTCCCCCAGGCCCCCACCCCCGTTTTCAGACTGTGTACTCTCAACAGTGTCTGGTTTTGCCAGCCCAGCAGCCGTACTGTTTATCTCCTCTGGAGAACAATCCAGTAACATTCTACTGGGGTTGAGGGTGTCAGTGTGTTAAGTGCTTTTTTCAAAGGACTTTTTTTTTGTTTTGTTTTTTAATGGTTTGTTTATTTCTGAGAGAGAAACAGTGTGAGCAGGGGAGGGTCAGAAAAAGAGGGAGACACAGAATCCAAAGCAGCGTACAGGCTCTGAGCTGTCAGCACAGAGCCCAGTGCGGGGCTCGAACACATGCACTGTGACATCATGACCTGAGCTGAAGTCAGATGCTTAACCAACTGAGCCACCCAGGTGCCCATTAAACTTGTATTTTTATTTATTATTTTTTTAAATTATTTTTTTTAATGTTTTTTATTTATTTCTGAGAGAGAGACAGCATGAGCAGGGGAGAGTCAGAGAGAGAGGGAGACACGGAATCTGAAACCAGTTCCAGACTCTGAGCGAGCTGTCAGCACAGAGCCCGACGCGGGGCTCCAACCCACAAACCGTGAGATCATGACCTGAGCCGAAGTCAGACACTTAACCGACTGAGCCACCTAGGCGCCCCAAAACTCGTATTTTTTTTTTAAATATTTTTTTAATTTATTTCTAGGAGAGAGAGAGAGAGAGAGACAGCGTGAGCAGGGGAGGGTCGGAGAGAGAGGGAGTCACAGACTGAAACAGGCTCCAGGCTCCGAGCTGGCAGTCAGCACAGAGCCCGACGCGGGCCTCAAACCCATGAACCATGAGATCGTGACCTAAGCGAAAGTCGGACGCCTAACCGACTAAGCCACTCGGGCACCCCAAAACTCGTATTTTTAAATTACAGTTTTTTAATGCAGAGAGAAGTACTTCCGTGCGTGTGTGTATCCTCCTCGTGTGATGCTTTTGTGTATTATANGAGCTGGCAGTCAGCACAGAGCTCGACGCGGGCCTCAAACCCATGAACCATGAGATCGTGACCTAAGCGAAAGTCGGACGCCTAACCGACTAAGCCACTCGGGCACCCCAAAACTCGTATTTTTAAATTACAGTTTTTTAATGCAGAGAGAAGTACTTCCGTGCGTGTGTGTATCCTCCTCGTGTGATGCTTTTGTGTATTATAATAGTGAACTGTCCTTGCATCACTACTAATTTAGTACCTCTGAGTTTGCATCTGTGATTCACGATGTCTGGAGTCTGTCTTCCGCATAGTATCTCAATCAAGCATCAAAACAGTTAAACCAGAGGGCTGTGGACAAACCAAAATAGGGAAATTTGCGACATAGCATTACACTGTGGCTGCTGCTGCTGCTTTTTATCCACTTTCTCCCTTCTTCAAAGAAGCCAAGTTTTCAAATATGTGGTTCTACTCCAACAATGGTCTTCCTTTTTCTAGCCTATAACATTATCTTACCACTGCACTAGGTCATGAAATAAATAACAATTAATTGAAAATATCTGTAATAAAGAAAAATTCACAAACAGTAACAGTTAACAAAATAGAGACAGTCTAAAAAGCTGTTATAAAACCAGATTTGTATATTTTTCCCATTTAGTTTTATTTTTTAATTGTTTTGGTGCATGTGAGACGAGGCCTGTGGAGGTAACTGGGGACAAACAGCAGAGTTGGGGGAGGGGGAGCGGATGAACTGTTGTCCCTTCCTGACTCATGAGCCATGTCTGTCTTACCACCGACATCTGTGAATCGTCTGTCGAGCTGTGTTCGCTGCTGTTGCAAACAAAACCTAACCCAGCGTGCTTGAGACAGCAAAAGCCGATTTCCTGTGGCCCCGTCCAGTGTGGGTCGGGCGGTTCCCGAGGCAGACCGCCCCCAGACATTGAGTTGGGTATCCAGGCTCCTCCTATCCTCAGACTCTCCCGTGGCCGGGTCCTCTTTCCACATCGTGGATGGAAGAAACTCAATACAAGAAGGCACACTGCCCCTTCCCTGTTTCAAGTGACACATGATTCATTCGTCACAAGTGACACATACCATTTCTAGATACATCCCATTGCCCAGAATTAAATATGTCCCCACCTGTGTCCCAGAGGGGCTGGGAAATCTAGTCTTGTTTGCCCAGGAAGAGGAAACAAACAGTTTCGTGAACACGGCTTTTCTTGGGAAGGTTTGTTGTCTACAGAAATCACACTGGGGCCATGGTAACTGTAAAATATGAATGATCAATTTTACCATGTAGATACCTATACCAGTATTCTATATTTTATTATTTTTTTATCATAATTTTTAAAAAATTTTTTTTTATGTTTTATTTATTTCTAGGAGAGAGAGAGACAGCGTGAACAGGGGAGGGTCAGAGAGGGAGTCACAGACTGAAACAGGCTCCAGGCTCCGAGCTGGCAGTCAGCACAGAGCCCGACGCGGGGCTCAAACCCACGAACCGCGAGATCATGACCTAAGCGAAAGTTGGATGCTTAACCGACTAAGCCACCCAGGCACCCCTTTTTTATCATAATTTAACCTCAGTTATGTGTGACCTGACTCCACTAATTTGATTTTATAAAATATAGTACCAAATTCAGAGGATTTTTAAAAAGGGGAAACAATCCCTTTATAATCATCTCTAATGCCTGAGCTACAAGTCACCTTATCATGAGCTTATAGGTGGACCGTCTGCAGCCCCTTAGGCTATTAGCCAAGACTTTTACTACAAATGGAGCCTCTAAAGGACACTTTGCTGAACTTCTCTACAGCTGTGATCACAAATGGAAAGCAAATCCCGTGTCTGTTGCTTACTAGGTATCTGTACTTTACCTCAAGTTACAATTATTTCATTTCCTTTTTTTCCTACTTGCTCTTATTTTTGAAAAGAGCACAGAATGGAAACGTGACAAGCGATCACTGTTAAGTGATCGTTGGAGGAGACCTAGCAGAGTCCCAGGACCCCCACCCCCCAGGCAGCAGTAGTGAGTAGCTTCTCCCCTTTTCAGGTGTCAGTAGAGGCCGAGTGGGGAAGTCGAACAGGTGTGTGCACATGGCGGTAACTAACTAGAAGGTGTCTGAGCCACAGCCTGGCTGAATCCCCAGGGAGTCAGGCTGAGCCAACCAGGAACCTCAAAAGGTGATGTGAGTCCATCCAGAGGACATGCTTGAAATGGTAGGATTAAGGAAATGGAGAACACAGTGGCGGTTTTGCCAAGGTGATGAGAGGGGGTGTGGCTGGGAGGGCCCCTTACTACGTTGGAACTGCACTGTGTCTTCACCGTGTGTCCACATTAATATCCCGGTGTGATGCTGTGCTGTGGTTTTTGTAAGATGCTACCGTCGGGGGAGGCTGGGGTAGAGGTATGTGGGATCTCTCTGTATTTTCTACATGTGATCTGTAGTCCTAATTGAATAACTTAATTAAAATATTTCAAAGTTATAAATCAGCTGACAAACCTAAATTTAAAAAACGTTTCATAAATAAACTTTAAAAGGTGGAGGGGGGCACCTGGGTGGCTCAGTCAGTTAAGTGTCCAAATCTTGGTTTCGGCTCACACACATCATGATGTCACGGTTCATGAGACCGAGCCCCGTGTTGGGCTCTGCATTAACAACGAGGAGCTTGTTTGGGATTCTCTTCCTACCTGCCTACTGTCCGTGTGCTCTCCCTCTCAAAAATAAACAAACTTCATAAAACAAATCTTTCTTCCTCCTACTTAGACAAATAAATACACTGACACTTTATAAAGATATACTGAGTAGATGACACTCTACAAGACCAAGTTTGAATTTAGAATTCTTAGACACCTCGGTGGTGTGGGGAGGGTCGGCTTCTGGCTCCAGCCTTCAGCCTGGTCCCCTTTCTTCTAAGCCCTGGCTTCATCCTTACCACGAGGGATGCCCCGTGCATACCTGTGAGCACCTTGGTGGCATGTCTGTGCTCCAGGCCTCAGGATGTGAAATAATTATGTAAATAAGTAGAAAAAAACACTCTTACTGTTCCGTACAGTTGGTAGGACATGATTCTATGTGAAAATAGGGTATGCTTGAGTATACAAGGTCCGAGTTCGGGGATAGCATACAGTGGGAGCCAGCACATGAAGTCACTGTGAGCCTGGGGAGGTACTTGGAAGTACCTCCGTACCCACCTTCCAGGAGTACCTTGTGTGGCTTGTGGATGTTTTCCTCTGATTTTACTGTCCGTTCTGCGTATGTTCTCTCTTCCTTATTGTAGTTTATTGGAGCATTTTTAATATATGCGCACAATTGTGCAGAGTAAGTTTCAGTTTAAAAAGAAAAGTCACTCAAATATGTGAAATGATATAGTAGATTTAGAAAGTAAAGTCACGGTAAGACGACAGTTTGGGATCTAAATATTGTTTATTTTTTATCTTAAACGGATTTAATGTACCTTTTACTGTTTTCATATTTTGTCCGTGAATGTTTTAGTTACCTTACCATTTTGCTTTCTTCAGATGTTTAGGAAATCATTGGTAAAGATGTTTGAAGAAAAAGGCTTGGACTGCATCTTTTTAGAAACTAACATGAGCATGAAGAAGCAGTACCACATGGTTTACGAGTGCATTCCTCTCCCGAAGGAAGTGGGCGACATGGCCCCCATCTACTTTAAGGTATTTCTGGAGAGTTTGGTCTGCATCCTTGTTCGCAACAATTCTTTTATGACTACAGTTATCTTTTTTCTTGTAGTTTTTTCTTCCTATATACAAATATCAAACGTTATATAAAGAAATGCAGCAAAGCACAAAGAAATAATGCTGTGTAAATTTCTGTAGAGAGAAATTTGGGATTTTGACCTTTAAAAAGCATGCTAGGAGAGGGGAAGGGGGGTGATGGGCATGGAGAAGGGCACTTGTGGGATGAGCACTAGGTGTTATATGGAAACCAACTTGACAATAAACTATATAAGGAAAAAAAATTAAAAAAAATAAAAAGCGTGCTTATTTGTAAGTACGAATATACTGTCGAATGGCAGTTTATTATTTCTATTTGAACTTTCCATTTCTCAAATGAAAAATCAGAGTTTTACCTTGAAGTAATTTCAAGTCAAAATTATAGTCATAATTCTGGAAAACTTACTGAAATTCATGAGAGCTGTTGAGAGTTACATACAAATAGTCCACATTATAATTGCTGAGACAAGTTACTGTTCTTTTAGTATGTAATACCTCAACATGCTCTTTTTAAGAGGAAACTGGTATCTAACCTTGACATACATTTTTGGACACAATTACTAGAGTTTTTGATCAGTTAAATGTTATTATAATATTCAGGCAGCTTTTATAAAATAGCATGGTTTTGAGGCTGACCTGAATGCAGTATAATTTATAGGCTAGTATAAATCCAGGTGTAGAACCATAGATGAAATAGTAACATGAACAATGGAAAATGAAGGCAGTGTTTTGTGAAGTGATGCAGGGAGACTTTTCAATGCAACATTTAGATGATACAGGATGGGAACATTCATTTGCAGACTCGACATCCCAGTTCAAGGGATGGTGAGACCTGTTGAGGTTAATAAAGTGGTGAAAATCTAATTTCTCTCTAGAAATTTCTAAAAACAATTTGATTATTTGATTTTAAGAATTATACTAGTAAAGTGGGAGAATGAGCCGGATAATCTTGCTAGTTGTGTGTGAAGCAAAATCACTTGGTGAAGAGATGATTCTTCTTCTTCTTCTTCTTCTTCTTCTTCTTCTTCTTCTTCTTCTTCCTTCTTCCTTCTTCCTTCTTCCTTCTCCCTTCTTCCTTCTTTCTTCTTCCTTTCTTTCCTTTCTTGTATTTCCTTAGTAGAGTCTTAGGTGAGTGTGACCATGGGCATTGAGGTAATAGGACATGTAAACGGCCACTGTTGATCATGTTGGGTGACAGAAATGTCATCACTTAGAATGGTGTGTCACTTTTCTACCCTAAACCTATTCTTTGATTTGCCTTCAGTTTTATACTGAGTGTGCTCCATTATAGAGTCAACACCAGTGCCTCCTATTCCTTTTAAATATATGTGATACTTTTAAACTATGCTTATTTGAATGCTAATTTTTTGTTTAAAATTTGCTTCATTAATAATGATAACTGTACAGAAATGAGAGTACTTGATACTCATCATCCTGGCTTTCCTATTAAATATTTTTCTACCATAAATACTAGTCCTGTTTCTTAGTTGCAGAAGTCTTACAAAGCCACACCTATGTATTTTTTCCCTGCATTTTTACTTCTTTGTTATAGGGCCAGATAGTTCAAGTACTTGATTGCCAGAAAGCTTATAAACTACTCTTTTGAGAAAGGGCAGTAAAACTAAACAAATTTATTTGAGGAGATTTCTTTGAATGAGATAAGGAAGTTGTGAACTTTTATGTTTACAGACTTATGTTCAACATTACATTGGTTAGGCTTATTAAGGATAATATTGTGATATAAAGTTGGGGTGAAGTTAGTACAAGAATTAAGAATGAATAAAATAATATTATCTTGCCTAAAGATAGGACTTTAAAAAAAATTAAGGTCAAATTTTAAAAAACATAATAAAGCCTTAACCCATTTCAAATAATGAGCTACCATGTAAGATGTGTCTGTGATTAATTCACTCTGTTACTTTATTTTTTACAATGTCTCTTTGTGTTTGCTTATAAACTATTTTTTCATTAATAAATGGCTGTTTCTTAGAAAGCCATAATGGAATCTGATGAAGAATGGTCTATGAACAAGAAATTGATCGATCTCTCTTCGAAAGATATCAGAAAGTCTGTAAGTATCTTTATTTTTGGTCCCTGATATAAGAAATGATCCCCAGTGTTTAAGGTCTTCATTAATTCTCACATCTTACTTGAGAAAGAGACCATTTGGATGAGTGACCAAAGGTGAAATAAGTAATTCTATGAATAAGAAATTATTTTCATTCTACTTGGTCTAGCAGATGCTTCTTTGTTCAGAAGCTGATGTGAGTGTTTGCTCCTGACCTTCTGGCCCTGTGCCATTGTGGCGCCTGTAATTGGCTATGACCATATCAGAGTCGGCTGTAGGAGCTCTTGTGATGGGCTTCTCATCCTCTGTGGAAGTGCGCAGAGGGGCCTTCTTGTTACTCAAGTTATAATGAGAGAAACATTTTTCTGGAGGCTCTATTTGATTTTGGAGCTCTTTTTTTTTTGTCCTTATACAAAGATGACCTGTTATGCTCCTTGAAAACAGTGGCTAAGTGAGATTATGGGCTCATTTATCTTTAGGGAAGCTTCCTAACCGTGCCTCACCCCTTAGCCGATCTGCAGGTCAGCTCTTAGACACGTTAACACACAAGTTGAGCACTTTCGCAGGGACCGCTCTCTTTTCTAGAAATCTAAACTAAATGGAATAGAGATAGAAAAGAACTGTGGATTCCTTTTTGTTCTTCTCTTCAAAACACACTTTACTGTACAGTTGTTCACTGGGTGAGAGCTGTTTACCAGGCACTCTCCTCCATGCCTCGTACATGCTGGAAGAGAACAGGACATGCGGCTCCGGGGGCAGGGTCGGGCACTCCCGCCTGGGCACTAAGTCTTCCCTCTGCCTGTGTGTATAAATGATGTGTGACTGGAACACAGCTATACTAGTTTGTTAGGTACTATTTTGGAAGCTTTCATGCCACAAAGGCTGAGTGGAGAGTTGTGACAGAGACTGTACAATCTTCAAAGCCCCAAATATTTTATTTAAACTCAAACTTTTATAAGTTTTCTTAAGTTTGCTGAATCTTGTTCTAGTAGATAGCATTAGGCTATTGTCTTCTTGTTTATTCTTTTTGGAAAGCCAGACTCCTGACACAAGTGATTGATAGGATATCTCTGCATTTATTATATCCTACTCAAAAGAATGAAATATCATTGCATTACCAAAGATAGGTTTCATACAAAGGTAAAACATTGTCTGTAGTCTTTTTTCTCCCCTTGTTGATGAATTGGGCCAGACGGTATATTAAGCCCCTCCCGCTCCCCCTAACAAATGTCATCTTCATTTCTGTCTTTTGTGGCCTGTAGCAAAAGGCATCCAGGACGCCTGGGTGGCTCGGTCAGTTGAGTGTCTGACTTTGGAGTTCAGCTCAGGTCATGATTCCAGGGTCATGGGATCAAGTCCCATGTTGGGTGCTGAGTGTGGATCTTTAAGATTCTCCCTCCCTCCTTCCCTCTGCCCCTCTTACCTGCTTGTATGCTCCCTCCCCCCCAAAAAAAGAAGAAGAAAAAGGTATGTAATGTACACACATCTGTTGTGCCTGAGTTTTTCACTTCTCATAATCTCCCTTGCCATTATCCTTTTGTGAACCATCTAGTGCCTATTCTAAGTTTGTTTTTTAAAACATGTGCGTACTTAAGTACCTAGAGAGTTTTAATATTTTACCTTAACTCACATGGAAAATAGGAAACAGGTGCACACCTTCGTAGGCAGGGTCGTGTTTTCTACTCGGGAGCTTTGCACAGACCCCAGCAATCGCCTTCCTGAGTCGTCACATGGTGTCTGAGAGTCACAGCAGACAGGCCATAAGCCAGAGGACGTCACTGGTCCCTTTTAGCTTTAGGATTCGACAGTTACATGGACAGAATTGTGAAGAGAACTTGAGTATTAGGAGTAATTCCAAAGGAGGTCACTTTTTAGGTTAACAAGGTTTCCAGTGGCTTTTGAAAATGATTAAAGTGTTTCTGAGCACACATTGAACAATCTTATTTTAACATTATTTTTATTCTGTAAGAACTTCATTATTCTTAATTTTAAAGCTCCGTGTCCTTGGTAGTTTCATAAAGTGTTTTACCTGCTTCCTGCGGTGGGGCGATTTTTTTTTTTTTTTTTAATTCAAATAGATTCTTCTGGTAGAGATTTACATACTGGTAATTCATTCTGATTCTTTGTTGATTTATGTTTTTCTGCTGTGAGTATAAGCTTCTCTTTTTGTGCCCATTTGTTCCCTTTCTGGGCCCTGATTTCTGTCTGTCAAGTCTGTCCAGTCTGTCAATTTCATGGACATACACAGGGAAACCCACCTCTCTGTGCGTTCAGTGTAGAAGAGTTGTGTGTTATCAACTGACTTGTCAACCGAAGTGCTCATTTTTCACAAGGCTTTGATATTGAGAGTTCATGTGAATTCCTTCTGAACTTTTCAGTATGATGATTTTAAGTTTAATTTTGTGATCACTATAATTTAAAAGCACCTAACACATTTAGGGATTTTTGAAACTGAGGAAAGTCCGTGTTAAGGAAAATTTGGGTTTACCCAGAGACCTTCAAACTCAAGGACAGTTACAGCAAGTCAGGAGAAATATCTGGAATATTGAAAGGGGCAAATTCAGATATTACTGTTTTGTTGTTGATGTTGTTTACCATCAGTGAAATGTTTTGCTCCAATTCTGTCGGTGTCTTTCAAGAGCAGTGCCAGAGGTCTTTTCCTCTGTCTGGTCAAGGCAGGCAAAGCAAAGTAGTAAGTGTGCACGCGCCTTGACCCTGGAGCCTCCACGGCTCCTTCTGACAAACAGCCGTTCTGACAAGACAGGAGGTTGTCCCCCAACAGCCGCAGTGAGAGGACCGACGGGCTTGTGGCCGCCCTGCCCCTCGTGTAAGACAAGTACTGTGTTTACTGTGCTCGCCGTGCCATCTCGGCACTTTACCCTGAGTTGTTGAGTCACTTGGCGTCTGTGTTCATTTCCTCCTGGTGACATAACAACACAGATTTATTATCTTACACTTCTGGAGGTCACAAATATGAAATGGGCTGCACTGGACTGAAATCAGGGTGCTAGCAGGTGTGCATTCCTTCTGGAGGGAAGAATCCGTTCCCTTCCCTTTTCTAGAAGCCACTCGAGGTTCCTTCCTTCATCTTCAATTCCAGCAGCAAGGGATCTTCCAGTTTTTCTCTGACGCTGACTCTCCTGACTCTTACCTACAAGCGTCCTTGTGTTTGCATTGGGCCCACGAGGATAACCCAGGACACCTCCCCATTTCCGTGTCCGTAAACTGTGTGTGTGAAGTCCCTCCACCGTATGATGTAGTATATTCATGGCAAATAGAGGATTAGAACTTTAACATATTTCAGGGGCCGTTTTCCTGCCAGGTACAGTGCAGTACAGTACAGAGCAGGGGCCCATCATCACAGATCGCTTCCTCAAGGTCCCCCTCCCTTGAAGTCCTGTGCAGCGCTCAGTGTAGGTCTGTCACTTTGTTTAGCCATTCACATTCACGCTTTGCATACGATGCTCTACGTCACATGGCAAAGATAGTCTCAGGGAGCCCGCCATCCTTGTTTCTTTGACCACCATGTTTGCACAAAGCCCAGTAGTTTGGAAACCAGGAAGGACAGTAATACTTGAATGACCTTCTCTGTGCGAGGCATCATATGTGCATTTTCTAGTTCATCCTCCCAGCAAACCTCTTAGCACTTCTTATGTCTCATGAGACCCAGAGATGCTGAACGACTGGCCTGGGGCTACGTAGGTGTAAGGTTCAGAGCTGTGATTAGAAGCCTCCTCTGTCTCTTGACTTTATTTTTTCCTGACTGTCTAGGTCTTACTTGTTTATCCTGTTTTGTAAATGTAAAAATATAAAAAAAAAATAAAGCAACAGAACAGTAACCCATTTCTCTGCATTTGCCGTTATGTACTATTTTATAAACTGATTTCCTTACTTATGCTTTTCCTGTAACATGAGCAACTCTTTATAACCCCTGATTTTAACTGCTTCATGTTATTTCACAGTGATTCCTCTTTTTCCACCGTACTGTCCTGTCTCCTCCCAAGTCACGCCTTCTTAAGGACACAAATATTTATAATGAAATAGACATACAGGATTCAGGGCCAAAATGAACATGTGTCTGTCTGTGTACATGCATGTGCATGTGTGCGTGTACATGTGTGTGTGTGTGTGCATGTGTGTGTGTAGAAAGGAGAGAGGAAAAGATGATAGTTAATCCTAGAGATACTTTGAAATGAAGTTAGTTAACCAAGTATTATTATGCCCATCTCACCAGTTAAGAAAAAATTATGATTGGGTTTAATTTATCTTTGATAAATAAATGGTAGTAAAAATACTATGAGCAAAGCTCTAAGTATATTGTTAGGCCTCTCTTCCTTTTCTGCTTTGTGGGGGAGATATAGGAATGATATACTTATTCTCTGTATGGTTTAAGGAGAATTATTCTACTGTTATACATATAAAAACAGTAAGTACCTTTTTTTTCCTGTTTTCCCCAAAGACAGGGAAAGAATTGGTCTTGATTATAACTGTTGACATCTCGAAGAGCTATCTGGCTGAAAGGCTACCAAATGAAATGTTTAACTCTGAAAGTTAGGACACTGCCTAAGTATTTCTAGAATTGGAAATTTATTATATACTTTCATCGTGGAGAGTTGCCTAACTACCATCATGTCCTAGAGCGGGAGAAGGGGTTCCGCAGAACTTCCTGATTCGACGCTGTACTCATGCGTTTATCTGTTTGTTTAGGTACCCAGAGGCTTACCTTATTTCTCGGTGGATTTTGGCCTCCAAGGAGGGTTTGCCCACGTCATTGAAGATCAACACAAGTTCCCTCATTACTTTGGGAAGGTATGCTCACAAGTTTAGTAAAATCCCTGAGTGCAGCAATTTGGTGACACTTTTCTTTTAAAAGGAAATCAAAACTTGGGGCACAAAACAGAGTGAAGTTGGTGAGTGCTGTTCTACCCACTTGTAGAGGGAGAGCCTGAAAGCTCCCAATGAAAAGACCCCAGACTGTTCTAACAGTCAGAACTGTTCCCTTGGGAACCCACTGTTTGCTGACAGCATCGAGAGTGATGGAGGCGTTCTCCTGTGGAGGCCGCCAGCCTTGTGCCGTGAAGGGTGCCGCTGCAGACCCTCGGAGTGAGTTCGCTCGCGGTGCCTCCACTTTGTGGATGCTGCTCTTCCTTTCATGTCACCGATGGAGGAGCCGGGCTTCACACAGGTTATGTGACCCGGTCACGGTCACACGCGAGTTAGGGATGGAACCGGCCCGCGCACCTCTCGTCCCTGGGTGAACCCGACAACGGATGACCTCTTGTCAGCACTTACGACGAAGCAGCACGCGCTCCAAGAGGATTGTAGGACTGAGTCATTTCACACAGTGTCCGGGCAGATGTCTGTGTGGCGATCGTACATTGCTTGTCATTCTTTTCTCTCCTGGGCATGTAGCCCAAGGAGCAGGGCCCGCTGCGTATCTGGGAAGTATGTGACGTGCTGTCAGGCACTGGAGTGAAGTTAATGTGGCTGCTGCAGCAGTCGAAAGAAGTCCGGGCAGCAAAAGTTCTAGAAGTGACCTTTGAATCGAGTGTGGCTCTGGCCTTCCTGCTCATACCATCCTCTGACTAGAGGAGCCCCCGTGAACTCTGCCCAGGGGCCCCTCTCTCCTCCTCACTGCCATCTCCCCTGGACAGCCGTCCTCACCGGCGGGTAGGCACGCATCGGGGGGTCTCAGCCCCGGAGGTGCAGATTCAGATCTAAAGTGTGTTAGTCAGAAGCCCCAAATCATGTGCACCTTTGAATTGTTGAGATATAGTACAGAAAACTGTTTGAGAAGTTTTCAGAATGTGTTTCGCAGAGTTACCTAGAAGGAAATTTGTTTTCATTGCTCTGAAGACTCCTGTTGTTTTATTCACTAGAACTTTATAACTGAAGGCTCTCAGACTCTGGATGGATGGATTCTTTCCTTCCTTCCTTCCTTCCTTCCTTCCTTCCTTCCTTCCTTCCTTCCTTCCTTCCTTCATTCCATCCCTTGATTCTTTTGAAAACAAAGTAAAATATCCATTTTTTTTACTTTTGTAAATTTAATTGGGAGATTGCACTCCTGAACAAATATTATACCTATATTGTGGTTTATATGATTCTGTTTAAGAGGAAAACTTCCTTGGTTAACGTTACATTGCTGATCTGTTCCCCCCAAATTTGCTTTTCAAGAAACAGCCTGTGAGCCCAGGAACTCCCTTCAGCCTGCTGCCCGAGCGAGTGTGCAGAGAGCAGGAGGGAACCGTCTCCTTCCATTCACAGCTGCTTCTCTTACCAGGACTCAATCCTGGATGCTGCACAGAAGACAAAAACGATATTTTGGAGAGACAATGTTAGGCCAGTTCATAAACCAGGCTTCCTCAAACTACACTGTTTATTTGGGCAGATGCCAAGAAAACTCTTGCATTAAATCTCAATTTATTCTTTATTTTTTCTATAAATTATTGTCTCTGCTGGTCCCTTTATTTCTGTTTCCTATTTACATGAAGCTTTTTCTGATTTATCCAACAACTAGAATCTTTTTTTTTTTTTTTGAGTCTCCTTATAGTCTGCAAAGGCATTTGCTTTATTCTGCTTTCTAGGACAGTTTTTCATGTAGTCGGGTTATTATTCAGCTCCTAGCATAGCCCCACGTGCCGTTAGGCGTTCTCTGAAGATGGGTGGTTGTATGTTAGTCATCTTTGTATCCCCTGTGATATTTGGTACCTGCTTGTACATGGTACGTCCCCATGGTAAAAGTGTTAAGATTGTGTCCAAGATCTCACCACACAGCTCTGTGGAAGTAGACTGGACACGGCAAGCTTGAGCGTCAGCCCAGCGCTGCCCTGTGTTACCATTCCGCCCTCCCCGTAAGCATTGTGCGCCCCCCCCGCCCCACCCTATGCTTGTGTACGTGGACACTCACAGGCATAAATTGCATTCCTTTCTGTAGCTAACAGCACAGGAAGAGAATCATGAAGGAAATAATCTAGGATAATAAAAGCAGACTAACCAAAATCGATTTCTTAGAGGAGTTTGGAATGTGACTCTTAAAAGAAGGTGATTTATAATTTTTAATTCTTGGTTTATTTGGATTATTAGTATTAAAATATGTTTCTGTTACCTGAGTAAAGATCTCCAGCTACTAGTAGAAGAAACTGGCGTATAAATATAAGGGGTAGTGGAGAGAACGTTGGCCTGAGACTCAACAGCCATCCGACACCACAGTTAACAATTGCTGCATGTTGGCTAACTCTTTCTCCGTACTGGTTACCAGAACAGCCATAAGGACCGAATTCACTAAACGTCACTCTCTCTTCCTCCCCTCTGCTCCTCTCTGGTAGATGTACTAACAAGCAGCACAACAAAGAGCGTGACAAGAGACCAAACTAGCACCGCTAGAATTATAGGCCTTGCATAGTTAGAATTAATGGAAAACAAGATTCTTCCCCCAAGTTTTCATTTAAATTCCAGCTAGTTAACATACAGTACACTATTAGTTTTAGGTGTAGAATTTAGTGATTGATCATTTACATACAACACCCTGTGCTCTTCACAGCAGGTGCCCTCCTTAATCCTGTCACCTGGTCCCTCCATCCCACCCCCCCCTTCCCCGGCACCATCAGTGAGGTCTCTACAGTTCAGAGTCTGTTTCCTGGTTTGCCCCTCTTTTTCCCTCCATGCTCATTTGTTTTGTTTCTTAAGTCCCACATATGAGTGAATTGTAGGAAGCTGTCTTTCTCTGCCTGATTTATTTCCCTTAGCATTACACTCTCTAGCACCATCTGCCGCGTTGCAGATGGCAAGATTCCAGTATTTTTGATGGCCGAGTAGTATTCTACTGTATATAGACCACGTGTTCTTTATCCATCCATCAGCCAGTGGACACTTGGGCTCTCTCCATAACTGGCTGTTGTAGATAACGCTGCTGTAAACATCGGGGTGCATGTGCCCCTTCAGAGCACTATGTTTGTATCCTTTGAGCAAATGCCTAGTAGTGCAATTGCTGGGGAACTTAGGAACCTCCATACTGGAAAATAAGATTTTTTAACTTGAAACTAATATTTTTGTAGAATTTGAGTAGCATCATAGAGAACTAATGAATTTTATATTTAGTGTAAATATAAACAGAAATAGCTTCCTTCTGTTTTCAGTATTTATACTTATACGTGTCTGTATTTCTCTCATTCTCTAAAAGGAAATCGTTGGCGGGATGCTGGATGTGGAACCAAGACTGTGGAGGAAAGGGGTCCGGGAAAGCTTCGAGGATCAGAGGAAGAAGGCCCTGCAGTTCGCTCAGTGGTGGAAACCATTCGACTTCACCAAAAGTAAAAAATGTTGAGTCATGATCTTCAGTGTTTAGATGTCTTCTTCAGATTCCTTCCCGTTTTATTTCTATTCTGTCTTAACAACTGACCCTCAAGCCACAGGGAGGGAGAGTCCTGCTCGGGGTCTCGGATGCCTGTGCATCACTGGATTCTTTCCTTCCCTGCCTTGTCCTGTGCCCGGGGAGCAGGACCCGATATGGGTGACCTCACATTCCTGTTGTGTCCCTACGTCTTTGTGTTCCGACCTTCAGTTAGGATGTGGAAGGACTTTCCTGAAGCGTTACCGAGGAGGGACAGTGGGTCACCGGTTCAGAGGGGGATGGGGCTGCTTCAAGGTGGCGAACACTGTTGACCAGCTTCTCTTGAATATTTTAAACTGAATTGGCATATTCAGTAATAATTGCAGCTTCTTTTTGTACCATTTTATAGAAGAGCTCTCCACTTTTTACCAGTCGCATATATATCACTGCTATTCTTTTTACTAAAGGAAGAAGAATGTTCCGAGAGTAATAAACAAATTAAATGAAACCTAACGTGTTTGTGATTTGTTTTTATTTCTGAATTTTTAGGATTTTTTAAATGTTTACTTATTTTAGAGAGAGAGAGACAGAGACAGAGACAGAGCATGAGTTGTGGAGGGGTAGAGAGAGGGAGACACAGAATCTGAAGCAGGCTCCAAACGCTGAGCTGGAGCCCCAATGTGGGCCTCGAACTCACAAGCCGTGAGATCATGACCTGAGCCGAAGTCATAAGCTTAACCGAATAAGCCACTCAGGTGCCCCTTATTTCTGTATTTTTTTTTTTTTAATGTTTTATTTATTTCTAGGAGAGAGAGAGACAGCGTGAGCAGGGGAGGGTCAGAGAGAGAGGGAGTCACAGACTGAAACAGGCTCCAGGCTCTGAGCTGGCAGTCAGCACAGAGCCCGACGCGGGGCTTGAACCCACGAACCGCGAGATCATGACCTTAGCAAAAGCCGGACGCTTAACCGACTAAGCCACCCAGGCGCCCCTTATTTCTGTATTTTTAAATGGTGTCTTTGAATTTGGGGAATTTTGAAAATGATTGTTCCAAATAACACAATTTACAGTTGTTTTGGTTTTGAAAGTTGAAAATTTTAGCCAAATGGTCATTTTGGGGTTTTATTATTGCACAATCTTTAGTAACGAGCGTATTCTGAATGCCTAGGGCCCGTTCTGCTGCTCCGCACTTGATCTGAGCTTCAGTTTTATTCTGCTGCTTGGTGTGAAGGGGTTTCGAAACTATATGTTTAAAAAATGTGACCACGGTCTAAGAGTGCTCCTATTTTTTTTAATATGGGAGATATTTTTGTTGTAACCCCTTCTCAAAGATCCTTGACTTTCGTCATGAAGTGTTGAGAATGTAGAATCAGTGTGACGCATACTCTGGAGAAACTCATTAACTCCACATAGTTATTTTTTTAATATCAGTGTCTCATTATTTCTTTAGTATGGTCAAAATGTTTATATTCTACCTGCAGTTATTAAATTTCACACATAATATGAAGTTTAGCAGTTTCAGTTTCTCACTATTTGCGAATTGAATTTAAGTATAATTCTCAGACACTTGACAGTATTTTATTTACTGCTGTTTTCAAACTCTTCGCTTTATTGCAGAGACATAGAGGAATCTGTAACATTTATTTAATCAGTGAGTTAACAGTTTGTGGGGAATTTTGGTTTTGTGCTGGTAGAGTGCGAAAATAAAAAGTGCTTCCCCTACTTTAATTTACAGTCTGGCAGACACGGAGACGGGCATACATGGTATAGCACGGTGTAAGTCCTGACGCGAGATACCTGCCAAGTGTGTCTGAGCGCCGCGCTGCACGACTCTTGACGCCCCTCTGTCTGTCTTCGTGGGTGACTTTGCTTCCTGTTTTACTGAGATTGTAGAACCACAGAGGGGAGATTTTCTGCCACATCTCCCCGGATTCCTGCATCTGCGCCCGTGTGCTCTACCTGCCCCCTTGCTAACTGTAGATAAATTGTTGTCTTCTAGGGCTCATCTGCTCCTTTATGTCCTGGCTTTATGCCCCGTCACCTACTCGGTTGGCCCTACTCTCTCTGTATTACTAGGATTCCCTCTCTGAGTGAGACTGAGTTCCTGGTAGCATATGAAAACATCTTGCAACAGTCCACAACAGACCCCCCATCAGATCCCCGCCAGCCATTTTCCTTCTCCACTTGACAGCAAAGCTCATTTAGGTAAAATCCCTGTCCTCTCCCTCCTCTTCCTGTCCTCAGTAGGGTTAGACACCCCCTCCCCACCCCCTCCCCTGCGCCCGGCTCTACTGCTAGTGTCAAGGTCCTCGTGAACCTGCCACGCTGGCAAATCACGTACTTACTGCCCGTGTTCCTCTTGCTTGCCTGTCAGCGTCGCTTCCAGAGCGCGTCTCTTATTTCTCCTCCTTCAGTGCTGGCTGCCTCCTCCATTCTCAGCTGCTCACGTGTTAAAATGCGCATCCTCACTTCTTATCTGTTCTCTGTTACACGCTCGCTCTGAAGGTGATGTCATCCTTCAAACGGTCTTACAGACCGCCTTTAGGTTGGCTCATTTATTCAACAGGTATTTGTTGAGTGTTTTCCTTGTGCCGGTTACTGTTCCCAGTGCAGGGAAAACATGAGTGAATAAAACAAAAATTCCTCCTTTGAGCCGTGTATACAGTATCAGGGAAGACAGACGTGGTAAACAGATCATCCAGATGTCAGAGGTGCTAAGTGCTGTGGAAAAAGGGAAAGTAGAACAAGACAAGGAAGACGTCTCCCAAACATGTGCCTTCAGCCTGACCTCTTCAGCGAGCTCCGGAAACAGATACCAAGGTAGAGGTATAACACATAACACATCTCTGCTGTGTCTTATCCGTGAGATGGACATCCCTCCTGAACTCCTGATTTCCCTCCTGTTCCAGGTATTTATAACAACCTTGTCATCACATCATGTGGTTTCATAGGTAAGGAATTTGATTAGGGCTCAGCTGGATGATTCTCCTCTGTTTCCTGATGTCTGGGCCTCAGCTGGAGTGACTCAGGCCTCCGGAGATGACTGGGGCCACACGTGTAGGCCTCTCTTCACATGGTGTGCATGCATGTGTGGGGCTGGAATAGTCGAAATGACCCTTCACTCGCTTGTCTGGTGCCTGGGCTGGAATGACTGGGACAGCTTGGGGACAGGCTGGTGACACTCTCTTCTCATATGGCAATTTCAGTGCAGTTGGGCTTTACTATATGACTTCTGGCTTCTGTTCCAAAAGATGCTTCCAAGAGATAAGAGGTGGAAGATGTCAGTCTCTTAGTTAGGGCCCGGGCCTGGAAATCAGCACAGCGTCATTTTGCTGTGTTTTGTCTGTCAAAGTTTTCACAGAGCTCATCAACATTCCGAAAGAGGGGTCATAACTCTACCTCTTGTTGGGAGAAGCGTCAGATCATTGGTGATCACCATTCGTCCACCTGAGTCTGCCCTTCGGCCACAAATTTACACTCTTCCACATTAAAAAGATATTTGAGTCCTTCCAAAGAAGTCTCATCCCAGAAGGGCACTAGGCCTAGGCTCGAGATTCAGGGTCCCATTTACCCGGGCTCAGCTAGAGACGAGGCTCTCCAGACGCTTCATTCTGAAGATGTGGGAGTTTAAGAGACAAATCATCTTACCCTGAACACACACTAGTGAGAGGCACACACTAACAGCAGTAGAGGCACCTTCACTGGAACAGATGGGAAGTCTAAGGCACGTTGCCATCACTGTTGACTAGTTCTAACATCGGGTTGGGTGTATCTTGCCCGTTTCTTGATTAGGGCTGTGGTCCTGCTTCTTGGGGTGATTGCGTGGGGCTTTGTGCTCTGCCCTGCATACTCTTAGTTCATCCCTGAATCAGCCTTGCTTTGTTTTGTTTCATAAATAGCTGAAGACTCATGCTTCCAGCTGAGACCAAGGACCGCATTACCTTCCAGCCTCAAATGACCAAAGAGTAGACCACATACATAAAGTCATGGTTTTTAAGACGTGGGTGTCAGGCAAGGAAGTATGATGATCTGTAAGTGACAGGAAACAAGTGAGACGAGCCTTGTGATTGCCCTGCCTTCTTGGTCCGAGACCATCCTCATCTCACGGTACCTGGTGTGGGACTCCAGGCGAAGTTGAGGACATAGAAGTATGAATCTCGGGGGGCGCCTGGGTGGCTTAGTCGGTTAGGCGTCCGACTTTCACTTAGGTCATGATCTCGTGGTTCATGGGTTCGAGCCCCGCGTCGGGCTCTGTGCTGACTGCCAGCCCAGAGCCTGGAGCCTGTTTCAGTCTGTGACTCCCTCTCTCTCTGACCCTCCCCTGCTCACGCTGTCTCTCTCTCTCTCCTAGAAATAAATAAATAAATAAATAAAAACATTGAAAAAAAATATGAATCTCGGGGGCCCAGGGCCACGGGGTGGGTTACAATGGGATTACATGCAGGTATGGAGATGGAAACTACATGGGTAAGTATATAAGATTTTTTTTCTTATTCTCTACATTTATTTAAAAGATCTTTTACTATTCAAGAACATTTAGTGTGAGATTTATATCATATGTGAAAACAAACTAAATGACAATAATAGCAGGAAGGTGGGATGGGGACAGATGAAGAATCTATTATAAGGTCGCCATACTCTACTTGAAGTGGAGTGGTAGGAGTTGAATATAGACTGTGATAAAGATGTAGATTTCTGGGGTGCGCCTGGGTGGCTCCTTCGGCTCACGTCATGATTTCACCACTTGTGGGTTCGAGCCCTGCATCAGGCTCTGTGCTGACAGCTCAGAGCCTGGAACCTGCTTCAGATTCTATGTCTCCCTCTCTGCCTCTCCCCTGCTCATTCTCTGTCTTTCTCTCTCAAAAATAAGTAAATATTTAAAAGAATGTTAAGATGTAGAATTCTAAACTGTAAAGCAGACCCTAAGATTAAAAAAAAAAAAAAAAACCAAGCAAATAGAGATTTATAGCACCAAGCCAACAAAGAAGATAAAATGGAACATGAAATAATACTCAATCTAAATGAAGGCAGAAAAAGGAAACACCACAGGTGGTACAAATAGAAAATGAACTGCAAAATGATGGATTTAAGCCAAAGCATTCTATCAATACTCATTTTTTATAGCTGCCTGGCAGCTGAAAACAGCTTGGCTGTTTTATTTATTATCCCTTGGCTTCCGTGGGCCCAGAGTTCAGGTACAGCTTGACCCATCTGGACGCCAAGCTGGGAAAAGACGCATTTTTCCATCCACATGGTTCCTGGCACCACTCACCTCCATGCAGCTGGGACTTGTGGCTTCAGCTTCTAGCTGGCGGCCCCATGTCCCTTCCCGCAAGGGCTTCCCCAGCACGGCCCCTTGCTTCCCTCACCAACAGCGAGGCAGAGGGAGATGATGACAAGGTGGCCACTGACATCTTACGTGGTACAGTTGTGTCATCACACAAAATTACATACACCCCCTTGCATTAGGGTGTGTTGGAAGCACATCACAGCTCCTGCCCGCACACAAG